ACGAAGAAGCAGCAGCTTTGTTTTCAGTTATACTAAAAGGGAAAACTTCTCACCCCCCATTTTGAATACAATGAGGGTTATAATTCCTGTGTTAAGTTACTTCCCATCTGTGTCCCATTGAGGAGATTTCCCCTCACTTCCTGTCCCAAAGCCACAGAAATTGAGAGGAAGTCCCCTAAAAAAACCCAAAAACTACCAGCACATCTTCCAAGGAAAACCCACATAAGCATAGGGAGAACATGCAAACTCCATGCAGATAGTGTGCAGGCCAGGATTTAAAATATGACTAAAGGCAAATTTTTTTTTCAGTTTTGGATCGAGTGGAGAGAGTTTAGAACCTCTGTCTGGTTTCATAGTGTCCCTATTGGAAGACTGGGGCACAATCAGGGATTCCCTCACCCTGGAGTGAAAAAAAAAAAAAAAACCCTCCAAATTCTGGGTTGTCCCCAGAAAAGTAATGGAGGGGAAATCTTCCAATAGGGACACTAGTTCTTGTAACAATCAGGGATTCTCTCACCCTGGAGTGAAAAAAAAAACCAAAACAAAAAAACCCCCCAAAAAACTCCAAATTCTGGGTTGTCCCCATAAAAATAATGGAGGGGAAATCTTCCAATGGGGATACTCTCACTTCCTGTTTGGCTATGGGACAGGCAGTGAAAGGAAAAATCTGCTATGGAACACAGAGGGCAGAACACAGAGGGTGTAAACGAAACAGTTCTCTCCCTTCAGCTCCTGCACAGTGCTTTGCATAGCAGAGCCATGCAAAGCAGTGTGCTTACAGTGAAGCACAAACACAGCCACACAGTATAAAACAGAAGACAGCACACAGTTAACCCTTTGATCGCCCCAGATGTTAACACCTTCCTACCCAGTGCCATTAGTACAGTGTCAGTGCTTTTTATTAGCACGTACTACTGTATTGGTGTCACTGGGGATGTCAGTGGCACCAAGTCAGTTCAGTGTCAGAATGCCTGCCGCAGTCCCACTATAAGTCACTGATCGCCGTCATTACTAGTAAAAAGTAAAAAACTACCAGTATATGTACCGCCATTTGTAAACGCTATAAACTTCACATAAACCAATTGATTTATAGGTATTGGAAAGACATGGAGGAGACTACATTTTGTCCTAAATGTATGACAAAGTTTCATTTAAATTTTTTTTACTGGCCATGTTTAATAGCAAAAAAGTGAAAAAATATTGTTTTTTCCTCAAAATTGGTGGTCTTTGTTTATAGCGCAACCCCCCCCCCCCCCCAAAAAAAACCCCACACAGGCGATCAAATACCACTGAAGAAAGCTCTATTTGTGTGGGGGGGGGGGGGGGGGGGGGGGGGGGGGAAGGATATAAATTTCATTTGGGTGCAGCGTTGCATGGCCGCGCAAGTGTCAGTTAAAGCAACGCAGCGCAAAAAAATGGCCTGGTGGGGTGAAATCCTCAGGAGAGCAAGTGGTTAAAGGATGTCGGTGGAGCACCCCTACTGGACACTGATAAGAACAGATACTACACTTGATCTTAGCCAAAAGGCAGAGGACTTGCAGTTCATTCATTCACAGACGTCTGTGAAAGAATGATGCAGCTGTGTGGGTGGAGCACAGCCACATCGTATACAAATTTCCAGATAGCTGGGGGAGACTTCTCTGTCAGTGGGAGGGGGTGGCTGCGTCTATGGGAACATGTTACACCCCACAAACAGGTGGAACATATAACATGTTCCCAAAGGTGAACTTATCCTTTAAAGCACGGGTGTTAAACTGGCGGCCCTCCAGCTGTTGCCAAACTACAAGTCCCATGAGGCATTGCAAGACTGACAGTTACAAGCATGACTCCCAAAGGCAGAGGCATGATGGGACTTGTAGTTTGGCAACAGCTGGAGGGCCACCAGTTTGACACCCGTTTTAAAGCAAGCACCCCAGCGCTGCAAGACAGAAGTGCTGACCCCTAAACCACTGTGCTGCCCTGTGAGCTATGTAGGAAAGAATCCATTACTATACTGTGCAAAAAATGTAATTCTGGATAGCGTTATAGCGAGGGTTTTAACCTCAGCCAGTCTTTGTTTGCCATCTGTATTCTGTTGGGGAGATTTTCCTTCACTTCCTGTCCCATAGCCAAAACGGGAAGCGAGAGGAAATCCCTCCAGGGTGAGGGAATCTGATTGTCGCAAGAACTAGACTCTCCATTGGAAGATTTCCCCTCTAATCCTCTAGAGGCAACAATCAATGTTCTTTCATTGATAATAGTAAACAGGACAACTAGAAAGGGTGAGTCTCCCTAACGGGGATACAGACGGCAATAAAAGCTGACAGAGGTTCTCATCCCTCTCTACCCAAAACAAACGTTTTGCTTTCTGTTATACTGAAGGGAAAACTCCTCGCACAATTATGAATAAGGGGGGGGGGGGGGGTTATAACCCCGGTTTTTATTTTGCCATCTGTGTCCCATAACCAACACGGGAAGTGAGAGGAAATCCCTCCAGGGCGAGGAATCGCTGATTGTTGCATGTCCCCAGTGGAAGATTTCCCCTCTATTCCTCTACAGGTAACAATCTAGAACGTTCTTTTGTTGAGAATAGTAAACAGGACAAATCCAGAGAGTGAATCTCCCTAACGGGGACACACACGGCAATAAAAGCTGACAGAGGTTCTAATCCCTCTCCACTCAATGCAAAAAAAAAAAAGTTTTGCTTTCTATTACACGAAAAGGGAAACCTCCCCCAGTTATGAATAAAGGGATTGTTATAACCTGTTTTTATTTTGCCATCTGTGTCCCATTGGGGAGATTTCCCTTCACTTCCTGTCCCATAGTCAAAACAGGAAGCGAGAGAAAATCCCTCCAAGGTGAGGGAATCGTTGCATGTCCCCAGTGGAAGATTTCCCCTCTTTTCCTCTACATGTAATCTATCATGATCTTTCGTTAAGAATAGCAAACAGGACAAATCGAGAGTGAATCTCCCTAACGGGACACACACGGCAATAAAAGCTGACAGAGGTTCTAATCCCTCCCCATACAAAACAAACTTTTGCTTTTTGTTACACCAAAGGGAAATCTCCTCCCACAATAATAAATAAAGGGAGGGTTATAACCCGTTTTTATATTGCCATCTGTGTCCCATTGGGGAGATTACCCTTCACTTCCTGTTCCATAACCAAAACATGAAGTGAGAGGAAATCCCTCCAGGGTGAGGGAATCGCTGATTGTGGCATGTCCACATTGGAAGAGGATGAATCTCCCTAACGGGGACACACACGGCAATAAAAGCTGACAGAGGTTCTAATCCCTCCCCACTCTATCCAAAACAAAAAAGTTTTGCTTTCTGTTATACCAAAGGGAAATCTTCCACAATTATGAATAAAGGGAGGATTATAACCCCTATCCGGTTTTATTTTGCCATCGGCGTCCCATTGGGGAGACTTCACTTCCTGTCCCATAGCCAAACAGGAAGTTAGAGGAAATCCCCCCAGAGTGAGGAAATCCCAGAATGAGTGTCCCCATTGGAAGATTCCCCTCTAGTGACAATCAAAGAGGGATTTTCCTTCACTTTCATGGTAAACGGGAGAATTGAGGATGAATCTCCCCAGCAGGGACACCGGCAGCAGTAAACACCTGACAGGAGGTCTAATCCCTCCATCCAAAAACGTTTTGCTTTGTTGCACAAAAGGTACCGCCCACACACACACACCAAGGGGCGGGCCATAACCTCTGGTAGTTTCTATTTTGCCATTGGGGAGATTTCCCCCTCACTTCCTGTCCCATAGCCATAACAGGAAGTGAGGTAATCCTGCCTGAGGGAATTGCAGAGCTAGTGTCCCCACTGGAAGATTTCTCCCTGTATTCCTGTCCTGGTGACACCCCAGAATTTGGGCCTCTCTCTTCCTTTGGGTGACAATGGAGAGGTGGGATCTCCCTAATGGTTCCCCGGGGATCTTACAAAGGTGATGGGCTTCCTTTTGTCCGGCTCGGGCTTCTTCTCCTCCGGTGTGGTGGTCGCCGCCGCCGCATCCTCCTCCTTGCTCCCGGCCGGGCTCTGCTCCATCTGCTTCTTGAAGAGCTCCAGGAAGCTGCCGTCGTTGGCGAAGACGTTGACGCCGGTGGTGGTGGAGGGGAAGGCCGGAGCCGCGGGGGTGTAGTAGGCGGGATAGGCCGGCATGGGGAGGTGGAAGGCCGGGGGTGTGGGGAGGAGAGGTTGGGTGGCGGTGGAGGCCTGCTCCGGAGCCTCCTCCTGTTTCTTCTCCTCCTCCTCCGGCGGGGGTTCAGGGGTGGCGGCGGCCTCCTCAGTACTGTCCTCAGGTTCCGGGGTAGCGGCGACCTCCTCCGTACTATCCTCGGACTCCGAGGCCGCCTTATTGTTCTCTAATACCGGGGCCTCTGCGGCTTCCTCTCCCTCCTCCTCGCTGTCTTCCCCGGACTCCGGCCGTGGACTCTCCTCTGCCATCCTGAGGCCTCCAGACCTCACCGACACTGCGCCACAGCCGCCCGGTCTCTAGGCCGTAATGTTTACCTCACGAAACCAGCGGGAAAGCTTTTCCAAAATGGCGGACAGCGGTAACCCGCAAGTAGAAATTTCTAGACGTACGTAGACTCGGTGACTGGGGAGCAACAGCCAATAGCAGCTTACTTACGACGACGCCGGCACGTTCTTACGACAGACAGTGAGGAGCGAGAATTGGCAGTAAAACTAACCAATCCTATAGGCAGCTTCTTGAGACACATGTCCAATCAGAATCCACGCTGCGTAAGGCTTTCTGGGCGTGTTCCTCTGTCATTAACCCGACTAGCAGCCAATGAGCGCATCCAGCTAATCCCCTATTAGAGGCTCCGTGCAATCCACCAATAGGACGCCGTTTATGGAAATGAAGCGAATGACAGTGATTGGCATGTCTTTCGGCCACTTAGCGAAGCGAGGTCTCTGTATTGGTGACAGCTGAGGCGGGGCCCTCTTTCTCTCGGCGATGTGATGCGGGCTCTGTGTGGATTGGCTATCTGAGGTCACGTGAGTGTGAATGAAGATGGCTGCGCCGGTAGATGAGGAGTTTGAGGATGCCCCAGACGTGGAGCCATTGGAGCCCACCCTGCTCAACGTGATAGAGCAACGCTCGCTCCGCTGGATCTTCGTAGGAGGGAAGGGAGGAGTGGGCAAGACCACGTGCAGGTGAACGGCGCGGCCTGTACTGCGTAGGCCAGGCTGCAGATGGGTGCAGGTGGACTGTACCAACTGAGCACCTCATGGGGGGAGGGAAGACGTGAGGGGAGAGACCATCTGTGCAGGAGGGGTGGCTGGCTGGGTTATCCTAACAACCTCTGCTGGCCTTATGAACAGTCTCTGCACTGCCAGCTGTGGTGATTCCAGATTGTCAGGGCATGCTGGGAGATTGGGGTCACCCCGATAAGGCGTGGTGAGGGTATGCTGATAGATTGGGGTCACTCTGATAAGGCGCGGTGAGGGCAAACTGGGAGATTAGGGTGCCTCCGATAAGTTGTGGTCAGGGCATGCTGGGAGATTTGGGTGTCTCCGATAAGTTGTGGTCAGGGCATGCTGGGAGATTTGGGTCTCTCCGATAAGTTGTGGTCAGGGCATGCTGGGAGATTGGGGTCCCTCCGATAAGGTGTGGTCAGGGCATGCTGGGAGATTGGGGTCCCTTCAGGGGCGGACTGACAACTCATGGGGCCCCCGGGCAATAGGGGATCATGGGGCCCCTGTGTCTTTGCTCAAACTCAAAAAAGCCTATGAAAAAGGTACCAGGGGCATCTTATGGGCCCCCTACTGACCCTGGGCCCTCGGGCAGTGCCCAAGTTTCCAAATGGTCCATCCGCCCCTGGGTCCTTCCGATAAGGCGTGGTCAGGGCATGCTGGGAGATCAGGGTCTCTCCGATAAGGCGTGGTCAGGGCATGCTGGGAGATTGGGGTCCCTCCGATAAGGCGTGGTGAGGGCAAGCTGGGAGATTGGGGTCCCTTCAGGGGCGGACTGACAACTCATGGGGCCCTGGGCAATAGGGGATCATGGGGCCCCTCTGTCCTTGCCCAAACTCAAAAAAGCCTATGAAAAAGGTACCAGGGGCATCTTATGGGCCCCCTACTGACCCTGGGCCCTCGGGCAGTGCCCGAGTTTCCAAATGGTCAGTCCGCACCTGGGTCCTTCCGATAAGGCGTGGTCAGGGCATGCTGGGAGATTGGGGTCCCTCCGATAAGGTGTGGTCAGGGCAAGCTGGGAGATTGGGGTCCCTCCGATAAGGTGTGGTCAGGGCATGCTGGGACTTGTAGTTTTGTGCGGAGTCCATCACCACTGGTAGACCTCCAGGTTACTGCTGAGCACCTACCAGGCATTCATCTGGAAGGGGAACTTCACTCTTTCGATCAGCATAGACCATTTGTAATCCTTCTGATGCCAGCATTAGTGAATACATAGGATATATATCATATTTATTTGTTTTAAACTTTTTTTTTTTTAATTTCTCCAGTTACTTCCTGGTTTCTTGCCTAGGCAAATGATGTCATACATCCCAGGAGTCTTCTGGAGGGGAGGGGTTTTTTCAGCTAAGCACACCCTCCTGCTAGCATGCCTGAGCTAAGGGCAGAGGGATTCCAGGAAGTCAGTGCTACAAAAATCCTCTGCCCTTACTCAAGATGGCTACAGCCAGAAATGCTGGGGGGAGGTATTTTTCAAAGTGATTTCTTAGCAAAATAATGCGCGGAGTCCTGGATGGGGGAGTTTGCTTTGAATATTACCCCGGTTCACACCTAAGCATTTTGCAGAAACGCAGTACCGTCCATTTAACATAGTTTACTATGGGACACGTTCACATCTCCGCATTTCACCCGATACGTTTTTTGGAAAGGTTCAGGGTCTTTTTTTTTTTTTTTTTTTTTTTTTTTTTAAAGCAAAAAGTTGCATTTTTTTGTTCTACAGACTTCAATGGAAACGCTGCAGAAAAGCATATAGTACATTTATTATGCAACTGTGATGTGTTTTGCGTTTTAAATCTGCCTAGCAACAAGAAAAAAAAAAAGAAAAATGCATGTGCCAAAACGCAAACTGCATAGGTGTGAACCGAGCTTTAAAAATGAATTCTATAGCACATGCTTTGTGGTGTTCAGATGCGGTGTAGATGCCATTTAAAGCGGCAGTAAAGTCTTCTGATGTTTCCTCTTTTTAGGGACCCCCAGGTGGGTTATGACTTATTGTGCTAGTATGGACAGCATATTAGCACATTATGACAGACTTACCTGTCAAACTGAGCCCTCCAGCGATGTGCTGCGAACGAATCTACGGGTCCTGAGCGCTTCCGTCTTCGCCTGGTCTTCCTCCCAGGTTCCGTGCCATTGGCCGCTTGAATGGCTGGGCTGTGATGATGTCACTAGAGTCGCATTGCAGCGGCACAGATTGAGGCCATAAATGCTCACTGAGCTGCGCATGCGCGGCTCAGTGTACATGATGGCAGGAGGAAACATTTATAACAGAAGAAACTGATAGGGTCTCTTCTGTCATAAAAGTAAAGTTTACTACTACTTTAAAGAGATTCTGTCCCCATATTCATTCGCAGTGACAGGTTCCTTGAAGACCCACCCACCAATACTCCCCTCCCCTGTGCATGTGTCTGTCCAGGACTTCCAGGTAGAGAGGGTCATGAGACTGTCTCCCCGCCTCCAGGATGTGAGTCTGCACTTGAGTGGCCAATGACTGCCATGCATGGGAGGGGAGAAGGTAATCAAAGTCATATTAGATCCCTTTTTTTTTTTTTTTTTTTTTTTTTTTTTTATAAAGCTTGACACACACACACACCCCCTACCTCGCTTTCTGGAGGGGGGGGGGCTCCTTGGCTTGCAGGTTCCTATAAAGCTTTCCTTCCATGTGTGCTCCCAGGGGAGGACTAAAGAGGCCAAGGTGTGGATGCTACCTGCGTAGACAGCAACAGAAGACAAGCCTCTGCTCCTTCTCAAAGTGAAGTGTGAAAAAGTATATGCCCCCTTTCTGATAGATAGATAGATATAATTTTCACACTTAAATGATTCAGATCATGAAACAAATTTAAATATTACACAAAGATAACCAAAGTAAACACAAAATGCAGTTTTGAAATGATGATTTAATTGATACAGAGAACAGCTATTCAAACCTGCCTGGCCCTATGTGAAAAAGTTATCTCCAACCCCCCCCCCCAATCCCATGCTAAATCATGACTAAACTGTTGTTAACCAATTTTTTGAAAAGCTGAGTTATATTTTACTTGCCACACCCCCAGTCCTGATTACTGCCAGACCTGTAGAATCAAGAAATCGCCTAAAGTGATACTTAATCTAAAAAGCATTTTTACGTTAATACATTGCTTGCATTAGGTTAAAAAATGTTTTCAGTTTCCCTATATGAAGGGGAAGAGCAGGGAGAAGAGATCAGCACTGCTGTATCTCTTCTCCCTCTCTTCCTCCTCACACAGGGACTTGAACAGAAGCAGGAGCCAATGACTAATCCAATGCGCTGAAGAGGAAGTGGGCGGGGGCTGCGTCCTGCTGCGCTCCATAGACACACAGGTCGGGATCAAGCATGCAGCATGCGTCCCGTAGTAAACAGCGTGCTATGGGGGCATACAAAGAAGAGGAGGAGCCAGCGGGGGATCTGAGAAGAGGAGGATAGTGGCGGCTCTGTGTAATACCATTGCACAGAGCAGATGAGCATTAGATGCTTGTTATTTTAATTTAAAAAGAAAAAAAAAAAGTGCCTGTAGTAACACTTTAATATCGGACACTTTTACCCCCTTCCTACCCAGGTCAATTTTCAGCTTTCAGCGGTGTCGCATTTTGAATGACAATTACGTAGTCCTGCAACGCTGTACCCAAACTAAATTTTTATAATTTTTTTTTTCACACAAATAGAGCTTTCTTTTGGTGGTATTTAGTCACCACTTTTTTTTTTTTTTTATTCTTTTGATAAATAAATGAAAAAAGACCAAAAAGTTTGAAAAGAAATGCGTTTTCATCTTTTCTGTTATAAAATGTTGCAACTAAATAATTGTTCTTCCTAAATTTAGGCCAAGATGTATTCTGCTACTTTTTTTTGCTGAAATGAACTCCTATCAGTGTTTATTATTTAGTCTGTAGGAAAGGAGAAGAGTTTGCAAACTATGGGATATATCTGAAAATCGATCAGTCCTGATGTACTGATGGCCTGTCTCATTTCTTGAGGCAAAAAATTTCAGGACAGTACAAATACAAGTACTTCATATAGTGCACTATAGCATGATAGTATGAAAAAAAAAACTTTTTTCTTTTAATTACATTTTTTAAACTTTTTATTTTTTACATACTCACTATGGCCAGAGCAATATAATATCATAGTAACATTGTACTTCTAGGGAAGTGATCAGAATTTTTTTTTTTGTTATGATTGCTTATAGCAGTGAATTTTACTGCTATAAGCAAGCATTTTACTGAATGAAATCAATTAAGTCAGTTTGTTCAGTTGTAATTAGCTGTGATTGGCCACAGCTAGTCACATGGTACAGATGGGCTGTGATTTGCCCTGTCTATACCGTGTGACCAATCACAGAGATCAACACGATTGTAACAGTGAATGACAGGAATCAAAGTGATCACATGGTACTGGCAGCAGGCCGGTACACTGATCAGTCATCGGCCGTGTCCAGTGGACACAGCCGGTGGCAGTTTGCGCTCTCAGCACAGCTCGTTCCAGGAGGACGTCCTATGATGTCCACCTGGAACGACAAAAGTCCCGCCTGACCTAATGCAATTTGATGGCCGGGCAGGACTTTTGTTATTCCAGGTGGACATCATATGACGTCCTCCTGGAACTATCAGCGCTGAGTGGTTAAATAGCAGCTGTCTGACAAAGTGAGGCGCATTAAAATATCTAAAAAAAAAAAAGCAACACATCATGCTGCCATCTAAAGAAATTCAAGAACAGTTGAGAAACAAGTAATTGACATGTATCAGTCTGGAAAGGGTTACAAAGCCATTTGTAAGGTTTTGAGACTCCAGCGAACCACAGTAAGAGTCATTATCCACAAATGAGAAAACGTGGAAGAGTGGTGAACCTTCCTAGGAGTGGCCGGCCTACCAAAATTACTACAAGAGCACAACGATGACTCATCCAGGAGGTCATAAAAGAACCCAGAACAACATCTAAAGACCTGCAGGCCTCACTTGCCTCCGTTGAGGTCAGTGTTCATGATTCAACAATAAGAAAGAGACTGGGCAAAAATGCCTTCCATAGGAGAGTTCTAAGGCAAAATCCACTGCTGACCAAAAAAGAACAAGGCTTGTCATTTGCTGAAAAACATCTTGATTATTTCCGAGACTTTTGGGCAAATATTCTATGGACTAATGAGACGAAAGTTGAACTTTTTGGAAAGTGTGTGTCCTGTTACATCTGGTGTAAAACTAACACAGCATTTCATAAAATGTACATCATACCAACAATCAAATATAGTGGTGGTAGTGTGATGGTGTGGGGCTGCTTTGCAGATTCAGAGCCATGAATTCTGCACCCTGCCAGAAAATCTAGAAGGAGAATATCTGGCGATCATTTCGTGGCCTCAAGTTTAAGCACACTTGGGTTATGCAGGGCAATGATCCGAAACAGACCATTAAGTCCACCTCTGAATGGCTCAAAAAAACAAAATTAAGGTTTTCGAGTGGCCGAGTCAAAGTCTGGACTTAAATCTGATTGAGATGCTGTGGCATGACCCTAACCAGTTGCCGCTCGGCCTATAGCCAGATGGTGGCCGGTCGAACAGCTCGTCCCTCTGGGTGGATGCCATATGGTGTTCCTTCAGGAACGCGCATGCCTGCAGGGTTGCGCTGCGGCACAATCTGTCACTGGCCATGTACCTCAGACACGGCCGATGACAGATCTGTGTACCGACCCCGTTGCCAGTACCATGTGACCTGCTGTGACCAATCACAGCAGGTCACATGACAGTTGTATGCAATAGATGGCTTCCTTTCATGCCATCCATTGTATAAAAGTGTGTCTAGCTTTGAATGGTCACAGCGATCACATGCACAAGCTGGGCCAATCACAGTCCAGCTGTGTCATATGATTAGCCATGGCCAAATCACAGCTAAGCACAAAAAAACCCTGAATGAATCGATGTCATTCAGGTAAATGCTTTCTTATAACAAAGTAATTCTTTGCTATAAGCAAATTGTGTAAAAAAATAAAAAAAATAAATATATATATATACACTGATCACTTTCCCAAAGTAGTACAATGTTACTATGGTAACATTATACTACTTTGGTCATAGTGAAATATGAAAAAAAGTAATAATAATAAAAAATTATGATTTTTTTTTTTTTTCGCACTGTCACCAGTGTCCCTGATCAACGCCATGCCAGTTATATGATGACGCTGTACTGCACTGCTGACAGTATGTAAAAAAAGAAAAATTGTGAAAATAATTTTTTTTAATTTTTTTTTCATTTTCCGAAAAAATTCTGACAAAAAAATTACAACTTTAAAAAAACTCGCCATGCCTCTTATGAAGTACGTCGGACTGTTTACTTTGCAAAAAGTGGTCATTTGGGGGATATCTGTACTGTTCTGACATTTTGGGGATATCTGTACTGTTCTGACATTTTGGGGATATCTGTACTGTTCTGACATTTGGGGGATATCTGTACTGTTCTGACATTTGGGGGATATCTGTACTGTCCTGACATTTGGGGGATATCTGTACTGTTCTGACATTCTTGGACCTCAAGAAATTAGATTGGCTGTCAGTACTTCAGGATTGATCAATATTCAGATCTATACCATAGTTTGTGAACTCTATAACTTTCCTACAAACTAAATAATACATCCTAATTTGGGTTATTTTCACCAAAGACGTAGTAGAATACATCTCGGCCTAAATTTATGAAGAACAATTATTTATTTGCAAACTTTTTTAACAGAAACAAAGAAAAACATGTGTTTTTTTTTTTCTTCAAAATTTTCGTTATTTTTTTGTACAGTGTTGTATGACCGCGCAATTGTCATTCAAAGTGTGAGAGCGCCGAAACCTCTAAAAATTGGCCTGGGCAAGAAGGGGGTAAATTGCCCGGTATGGAAGTGGTTAAACAGGCCATTCAAACTTGAAAACCTTCCAATGTGGCTGAATTAAAACAATTCTGCAAAGAAAAGCCAAAACGTCTCCCCAGCGATATGAAAGACCCATTGTCAGTTATCGCAATCGCTAGATTGCAGTTATGGCCGCCAAGGGTGACATAACCAGTTATTAGGTTTAGGGGCAATTACTTTTTCACAAAGGACCAGGCAGGTTTGGATAGCTCTTTCCCTTAATGAAATCTAAAACTGCATTTTGAATTTATTCGGGTTATCTTTGTGTAATGTTAAAATTTGATCTGAATCTTTTAAGTGTGATAAATATTTAAATAATATATATCAGAAAGAGGGCATGTTTCCTTGCATGCGTGCCCCTGCATCCCGCTGTGTCCTTGCATGCGTGCCCCCGGTATCCCGCTGTGTCCTTGCATGCGTGCCCCCTGTATCCCGCTGTGTCCGTGCATGGGTGCCCTTTTTGTGTACTTTTAAACCGCTTTCCTGCAAACATCCACTGAAACTTTGAAAAAAAATTGCACATTTATTCCTATAAAAATACCACTCATTCATATAAAGTGGCCAATGTGAGGATGCTGCATGCTTCAGGCTACCGCTATGACACAGGGACAGTGGGCACGCATGCAAGAGCACACAGGAATACTGGGGCACACATCCAAGAGCACACAGGGATACTGGGGCACACATGCAAGGGCCCCCAGGGATACTGGGGCACACATGCAAGAGCACACAGGGATACTGGGGCACACATCCAAGAGCACACAGGGATACTGGGGCACACATACTAGGGCCCCCAGGGATACAGGGGCACACATGCAAGAGCACACAGGGATACTGGGGCACACATGCAAGAGCACACAGGGATACTGGGGCACACATGCAAGAGCACACAGGGATACTGGGGCACACATGCAAGAGCACACAGGGATACTGGGGTACAGATGCAAAGGCCCCCAGGGATTTAAAAAATCCGATTTAAATCAAAAACATACGATATAAATAAAAAAAAAATTGGTTTTTTTTTTAATTTTTAAAAAAAAAAATCATTGATTTTTATCCACCCTGGTTGACACACATGCAGGGACACTAAGGCACATGTTCTTGCCGGCACTTGGAATGATGGGATATTTTAGCCTTGAGGATTGTAATCGTATGACATGGGTGCACACTGATAAACTGGTGGGAAAGTAACCAATATCCTTTGTCTGTGCCCCACAGCTGTAGCCTGGCCGTGCAGTTGTCTCGGATTCGGGAGAGCGTGCTGATCATTTCCACAGACCCTGCCCATAACATCTCCGACGCCTTTGACCAGAAGTTCTCCAAGGTCCCCACGAAAGTGCGCGGCTATGATAATCTCTTTGCTATGGTGAGCAGCCTCTCTTCTCTAATGTGACAACAGTATAGCACATGCTCACATTTTCCATCTTTCCCACAAGTACAAAATAAAGATGCATTAACAGCCAAAAACAAATCTACTCATAAACTTGTTGTAGCTTATTTTTGGGAACATTGGTTGACTGCAGGCTTTTGCTGAGACTGTGGTTTGTGTTTGGCCACAAACATCGGTGCTTGGTCTATGGAGGAGGACATGGTTGGACTGGAGACAGAGCTGGCCAGTCAGTGGCTTTGCCAGAGGTTCAATAATGACCTAAAAAAGTGAAAGCACTACTTTTATGAAAGGAAATGACATGGTTTATAATAGTATTACATATCAATCAGTTAGGGTTTATATTTACTGAAAAATCAGACAACATAAGTATTCCAGTGCTACGGACCTTGCCTGAATCTTATGAGGCCCATCCCTGTTCTGTCAGTCTCTTGTACAGGGTGAAGGGTACCCTTCCACCCTGAAGTAACAGAAGGCTGGACGGTATGTTCTTTATGAATACTTCCTTGCAATCATTGCTATAAATGATGAATCGGTAGTGTCAGATTAATGACATTAGATTAACCAGATTAGAAGCAGAAGATGATATCAACGATTCTTTCTCTTTATAAAAATTGAAAAAAATCTTCTTTTATCTGGTTTTTGTTATTTTGGTTAAAATAATTCTGTTCTATTTTCTGCTTGGGAAGAACATTTGTGTAACTGTCATCGTGTTCCCTCAATGCAGGAGATTGATCCCAGCCTGGGAGTGGCTGAGCTGCCAGACGAGATATTTGAGGAGGACAACATGCTCAGCATGGGCAAGAAGATGATGCAGGAAGCCATGAGCGCCTTTCCTGGAATAGACGAGGCTATGAGTTATGCGGAAGTGATGAGGTGAGCAAAAATAAAAAATGTAAACCTACTGTTGTTGTCAGCTGACATATACATACATATATACTAAACCTGTTTGTAAAGGTCGCCACATGTTAGTAACAACCCATGCAATCCATACATACAAAGAAACCAAAACAAATCAGTTCACAAATTAAGTTATGTGTAATAAAATGGAATGACACAGGGAAAAAGTATTGAACACATGAAGAAAGGGAGGTGCAAAAAGGCATGGAAAGCCAAGACACCAGCTGAAATCTGTCAGTAATTAGAAAGCAATTGTGCCTCTTGTCAGTGCAAATTAATATCAGCTGGTTTATTACCAAGGTGTCGCACAAGAAACCTCTCATGATAGGCAAAAGCAAAGAGCTCTCTCAAGACTTTTGCTACATACTGATGGCATTGGTTTCAGTAGGATTGTAAACTGCTGAGTGTTCCATTGAGCACTGTTGGGGCCATAATTCGGAAGTGGAAAGAACATCATTTTACCATAAACTGGCCATGACTAGGTGCTCTTTGCAAGATTTCTGACACAGGAGTGAAAAGAATTATCAGAAGAGTTGTCCAAGAGCTTCAGAAAGACCTGGACTTAGCAAGTACAAGTAATGCACTCGACCACCATGGCCTGTATGCATGCTCACCACACAAGACTCCATCACGCAAGACTCCATTGCTGAAGAAAAATCACGTTGAAGCTTGTTTAAAGTTTGCTGCACAACATTTAGACAAGCGTGAAAAACTGGGAGAATATACTCTGGTCAGATGAGACCAAAATTGAACTCTTTGAATGCCATAATACACACCATGTTTGGAGGTCAAATGGCACTGCACATCACCCCAAAAACACCATACCAACAGTTAAGCATGGAGTTGAGAACATCATGGTGTGGGGGCTGTTTTTTAGCATATGGTACTGGCAAACTTCATTTCATTGAAGGAAGGATGAATGGAAAAAAATCTGCTGCCATCTACCAGGATGATGAAGATGAAACGAGGGTGGACATTTCAGAAAGACAATGATCCCAAACACAAAAGAAACTCTCAATTGGTTTCAAAGAAGGAAAATAAAGCTGCTAGAATGGCCCAGCCAAATCACCTGACTTGAATCCAATAGAAAATCTATGGAAGGAACTAAAGATCAGAGTTCACAGAAGAGGCGCACGGAACCTTCAAGATTTGAAGACTGTGTGGGACAATGGGCCAAAATCACACCTGAGCAATGCATGCCCCTAGTTTCTCCATACTGGAGGCGTCTTAAAGCTGTCATCGCCATCAAAGGATTTTGTACGAAGTATTAAAAAAATTTCCGTTGGCGTGTTCAATGCTTTTTTTCCTGTCATTCCATTTTGTTACACATAACTTAATTTCTGAACTTATTTTTTTTGGTTTCTTTGTATGCTTGGATTGCATGGGTTGTTACCGACATGTGGTGAAAATGTCATGTCAATAGCACCTTTTAGAAATGTATCAAGAAAAATGACGTGTTCAATACTTATTTACCCGCTGTGTGTGTATTATTTGTATAATAATTAAGAAAAAAAAAATATATATATAACTAATTTTGTTTAGGCAGAGGCCCTAGAGAATAAAATGGTGGGTGTTGCATATTTTATATCGTTCAATATTTTCACAGCAGTTTTTTAAATGCACATTTTTTTGTGGGAAAAAAAAATACTTTAATGAGTTTTAATGCTCAATAACACAATATAATACCCAATTGTTTGGTAAAATATAAAAGATGATGTTACGCAGAATAAATGGACACCAAACATGCCATGCTATAAAATTGCATGCGCCTGTGGAGTGGCGCCAAACTACGGGATCTATAAAATCTCCTTGGGTGACTCTTTAAAAGCCTTTACAGGTTATCAGTTTAGAGTTACACAGGAGGTCTGCCCCTAAAATGTATTGTTCTTGCTCGGACGTTCGCAGCAACAACCTCACCTCGCAATCGCCGTTTAAACATATGCGTGTGTGACTGATGTATGCGTTCACATTTGCGTGTAGGCACGGGGGAATGGGGGTACTTTAAGCCCCAGATCTCTCAGCTGCCTTCTAAAGCATCTGATCAAAGCAAGATTGGCTTGATCCGATGTTTTCATATCATATACAACAAACCGAAAAGCGGAAGTGCCGAAATCCTGATCGCTTTTGGTTTCTGATGTCACACACTGGGAGGAATAACATCAGTTCCCCTCACTGTCTCCCAGGAAACAGATGCAGCCAGTCGCATTGTTACCGGGTTTCTGATGGGACGCTGCCTGTAAAATTAATACAGTGTGTCTATAGCCTCTAGGATTACTTTTAGATTGACGGGAATTAAGGGCCTGTGGACTTCCTGTGGATGGGAAGAGGTTTATCCCGTCACCCAAAGTACATTTATAAACAAACATCCCTGGTATACAATGGGTTAAAACAAGCTCACTGGGGAAGGTCTTCTTGTTTCAAGATTCTGCTTACTCTTACCCTCACAAAGGATATGTAGATGAAAATTAGACGAAATAGATAAAATGGGTGGTAAAAAATTTAGTTAATTTTATGACATAAAACGTAAAAGGATTAAATACTCCAGCAAAAAGGCATAAGAGCTTAAGGGAAATATACCAACGATCTATCGAAGTGGTGTTCATACAGGAGACGCATATATCTCAGGATTCAAACATTAAGCTATACTCTAAATATCTTCCCACCTGGTACTACGCAGACTCCCCAATAAGACAAACAAAGGAAGTGGCGATAGGTTTTGGAAAAAAATATAAAATTTACTCTGGACGAAAAGCTGGTAGATCCAGCAGGCCGCTATTTATTTCTAAGAGGGAATTTGCAGGGAAGAGTGTACATTAGTAAATACATACTGCCGAATACAAGTCCGACACTATACTTGGAAGGAATTTTGGCAAAACTTACAGACTTTAAAAGGGGTAGTGTGATTTTGGCAGGTGATCTAAATTTTTGCATGGACTCGGGGATGGATGTTTACTCGTGCACCAGCAGAGAAGGAGATAGGAGTCTAAAGAATATTTAAAAAAAAAAAAAAAAAAAAAGCTACATCAATGTCAGCTGATGGATGCTTGGAGGGTTGATCATCCAAAGGAAAGGGACTATACATTCTTCTCTATGGTGCACAGGATGTATTCAAGACTGGATTATATGTTGATTGAACATAGACTCTTGGAGTGTTTGGTGAAAACTAATATATGTAATGGCTATACTGGACCATGCTCCTATCACAATGAGACTATGGTTTGGAGGGGAACAGAGTAAAACAAACGTGGAGATTAAACGAGACTATCTTACAAAATCCGGAAGCGGAAATAAGAGTAAAACAGGAAATAGAAACTTCCGCAGACCCATTTATCTTAAAATATTGATCTATCACCACGGTATGGGAAGCACATAAAGTCTATATTAGGGGAATACTTAGAGCAATAGGGGCGGAGATAAAGAAAGAACGGTGAAAAAGACTTCGGGTATTGACGGAAGAACTATATCCGTTAGAACAATTACATAAAGAGAAGTTAAGTTTAGAGCTAAAACAAGAGATAAGGTCAAAAAGGGAAGGTTTAAAGGATTATATGGAATAAGAAACCAGTAGAATTTTTAATGGGGTTTCGGTTATCGGTTATAAGGAAAGTTTATCGGTGAGGGAATAAACCAGGAAAATATTTATTCAGGAAGTTGAAGGAAAAGAAAAAGGAAAGCACTTTATAGATAAAAGCTGAAAAAGGAGAGATGGTATATTCAACCACCAATATCGCCAACACATTCCAGAGATTTTATAGTAGGTTGTATGGGTCAAAAAGTAAACCTCAGAAGAGAGAAAGAAGAGGTTGATTTATTTGGACAAGGCCGGTATGCCTATATTGGATGAAGCCAGAGTACTAGCTTTAGATAGCCCAATATCCATGGAAGAAGTTAACTTCGCATTAAAGGGCACAGCTACAGGGAAGAGCCCAGGACACGATGGATTTACAGTTGGATATTATAAGAAATATAGAACAATTAGCCCCTACACTGTGTATTTATATGAATGCACTGGGAAAGGAGATCAAGCTGAGGGAGGAGTCGCTACAGGCATATATTACAGTTATACACAAGACCGGGAAAGATTGGTCTCAGCGTAACAGCTACAGACCTATATCTTTGTTGAATGCTGATACAAAGTTGTACGCAAAGGTATTAACTACAAGGTTGAAAGAGCTGATGTCCGACTGGATGCACAGACCAAGTGGGATTCATCCCAGGTAGAGCGGGAAAAGATCATGGCTTAAGAGCATTACTTGTTCTCCAAAAAAAATGAAAGAGGAGAGAGGTTCCGGGAATCATTCTCTCAGTTGACACTAAAAAGGCCTTTGATAGAGTAGACTGGAGTTTTATGATCGATACACTGAGAACATTAGGAATCGGGACTAGAATGATGCAGTAGATAAAAGAGCTATATAGGAGTCCCTCAGCTGCAGTAAAAGTAAACTGCCTACTATCTACATTTTTTAGGATGTACACTGGAACCAGACCGGGATGTCCCCTATCCCTGTTGCTATTTCTGATCTCCTTGGAACCGTTATTAGCAACTGTTAGAAATAGCGTAGATGTCAAGGGAATGCGGATGGGGGATACAGAACATAAAGTTGCTGCTTACGCAGACGATATGCTGTTTTATATAGCAAACCCCAGATTAACATTACCAAAACTGAAAGAATATGGAGAGCTATCTAAACCTTAAAATCATCCCCTCGAAAAGCGAGATCTTAAATATAAATATTGCAAAGGCTGAGAAGCAAATCTTACAAAAAGAATTTCCCTTTAAATGGAGAGAAAAAGAACTAAAGTATTTTGGAATAAAATTAACATATTCTACAAGAAACGTATACCAGGCAAATTATATCCCACTAATAAATGAGATAAAGGAGAAAATGAGGAAAGCTTCTATGGGAAAGCAGTGCTGGATAGGTCGGATAAATATAATTAAGTAGATAATAGTACCAAAAGTTTTACCTTAAAAAAATGATACTCCGGTATGTGTGTGTTAACAGGAAACCAAGAGTTAACCCTTTGAGGACCGTAAGATTTTGGAACGCCAAAAGAATCAATTTTTTTGTTTTTAAAGTTCGTACACTTCAGTTGCTGTAACTAAGCCATTTCATGAAATAATTGGCAAAAAGCTAGATCCATTTGTTGTTTGTTGATAAGAACTAAAATTTTTGACTCAAACCAAAAAAAAAAAAAAAAGTTTTAAGTTCTTAATCAGATGATACACGCAATTAAAAAACATGGGACAAATGCGTCCCTTGGTCCTCAAAGGGTTAAATACAAACTTTTATGCAGTAATAAAAAAAGGGGGGATTAAATATGCTAGATTTCAAGAGATTATAATTCGATGTTATTATCACGAACTGTAGAGTGGATACATAATGCACAGGGGAGAAGCTGGGTAAAAATGGAGAGTTCACTTAGTAAGGCACCTTTTTAGATAAGTATATTTTGGATACCACAGGAATTTCGTACGTGGGATGAGGATACAGGTACTTTTGACACTGAATGTATTTAAGATTTGGGATGAATTACACAAGCAGAAGGAGTAGAAGTTTAATTTACTGTCAATCCCGTTGGCGGGAATAAAATTTTTCCCACCCAGGAATGATAATATCTCAGGGAAATGGATTATTGATAGAAATGCACATTTAAAAGATATTGTGGATAAATGGGTGGTATGTTCTTTATATGATTTGAGGAATAAGAAGGAAATCTTTTCTACACTAGAGGAGTGGCGGTATGGTCAAATAAGACATTTTGTTTCAAAAGCTCCCTCAACCACTGAAGACCGAGGAAGAAATGTATCCTTTAGAACAACTGCTGAGTACAAATAGAACACCAAAACAAACTACCTCTCGGATTTATATAGAATCCTTCCTGAAATAGAGGGATCGATACCCCAAAAATTCCTGGAAAAGTGGGAAACGGAGCTTGGAACAAGATTGCATGAGCAACAAAAAAAGTAAAATATTTATTTAACACATGGAGCGGTGGAGATGAATTTATAAATGTCTTGTTAGATGGTATACTACTCCTAATGTGATGTATAAACTAAGGACAGAGATCTCATCCCAGTGCTGGAGAGGATGTGGGAGTAGAGGTACAATGGCACATATCTGGTGGGACTGCCCCAAAATACAGGAGTTTTGGAGGGAGATGGTGATAGATAGAGAGATAGATAGATATATATAGATATATATATATATATATATATATATATATATCTATATATATATATATATACACAGTGGGGCAAAAAAGTATTTAGTCAGCCACCAATTGTGCAAGTTCTCCCACTTAAAAAGATGAGAGACAAAATGAGAAAAAAAATCCAGACAATCACATTGTCTGATTTGGAAAGAATTTATTTGCAAATTATGGTGGAAAATAAGTATTTGGTCACCTACAAACAAGCTGGATTTCTGGCTCTCACAGACCTGTACCTTCTTCTTTAAGAGGCTCCTCTGTCCTGCACTCATTACCTGTGTCAATGGCACCTGTTTGAACTTGTTATCAGTATAAAAGACACCTGTCCACAACCTCAAACAGTCACACTCCAAATTCCACTATGGTGAAGACCAAAGAGCTGTCGAAGGACACCAGAAACAAAATTGTAGACCTGCACCAGGCTGGGAAGACTGAATCTGCAATAGGCAAGCAGCTTGGTGTGAACAAATCAACTGTGGGAGCAATAATTAGAAAATGGAAGACATACAAGACCACTGATAATCTCCCTCGATCTGGGGCTCCACGCAAGATCTCACCCCGTGGGGTCAAAATGATCACAAGAACGGTGAGCAAAAAATCCCGGGACCACACGGGGGGACCTAGTGAATGACCTGCAGAGAGCTGGGACCAACGTAACAAAGGCTACCATCAATAACACACTACGCCGCCAGGGACTCAGATCCTGCAGTGCCAGACGTGTTCCCCCTGCTTAAGCCAGTACATGTCCGGGCCCGTCTGAAGTTTGCTAGAGAGCATTTGGATGATCCAGAAGAGGATTGGGAGAATGTCATATGGTCAGATGAAACCAAAATAGAACTGTTTGGTAGAAACACAACTTGTTATGTTTGGAGGAGAGAGAATGCTGAGTTGCATCCAAAGAACACCATACCTACTGTGAAGCATGGGGGTGGCAACATCATGCTTTGGGGCTTTTTCTCAGAAAAGTGATCAGGACGACTGATCCATGTACAGGACAGAATGAATGGAGATTTTGAGTGCAAACCTCTTTCCATCAGCAAGGGCATTGACGATGACACGTGGCTGGGTCTACCAACATGACAATGATCCCAAACATACCGCCCGGTCAACGAAGGAGTGGCTTCGTAAGAAGCATTTCAAGGTCCTGGAGTGGCCTAGCCGGTCTCCAGATCTCAACCCCATAGAAAACATTTGGAGGGAGTTGAAAGTCCGTGTTGCCCAGCGACAGCCCCAAAACATCACTGCTCTAGAGGAGATCTGCATGGAGGAATGGGCCAACATACCAGCAACAGTGTGTGCCAACCTTGTGAAGACTTACAGGAAACGTCTGACCTCTGTCATTGCCAACAAAGGATATATAACAAAGTATTGAGATGAACTTTTCATATTGACCAAATACTTATTTTCCACCTTAATTTGCAAATAAATTCTTTCCAAATCAGCCAATGTGATTGTCTGGATTTTTTTCTCCTTTTGTCTCTCATAGTTGAGGTCTACCTATGATGCCAATTACAGGCCTCTCTCATCTTTTTAAGTGGGAGAACTTGCACAGTTGGTGGCTGACTAAATACTTTTTTGCCCCACTGTATGTATGTGTGTGTGTGTGTATATGTATATATGTATGTATGTATGTATATATATATATATGTATGTATGTATGTATAGTATATATATATATATATATATATATATATATATATATGTATATGTGTATGTATGTATGTATATATATATATATATATTAAGCGATCCAGAGGAATACTGTACAGATGGATCCGTGGGTTTGCCTGTTTCATAAATCAAAAAAAGCTGCTCTAAAACAATAATAATAAGAAAAAAAGTACCCCCTTTTCCACACTGTACACAGCTCAAATTCACAGCTACTTGGGAGTAGTGCATGGAGGAAATGAGGTTAAATCGTGAATTGGACACAAGTTGTGGCTCAATGTACTGTCTAGACTTGAGAACTTGGGGTGCTCTAGAGGGAAACAGGCTTGAATATAAAAACCTGAATCAAGAATGCAGCAAGTAAAGACGGAGCATTTTTTTTTTTTTTTTTTTTTTGCAGCCAGCTCTGTAGTAGGCATGCTGTGCCCTCATTAATTTGTTTTTGCTGTCCCTTAGGTGGGTTATGACATGCTGTTTTTCTTCTGTCCCTCTCAGGCTGGTAAAAGGAATGAATTTCTCAGTAGTGGTCTTTGACACGGCTCCTACAGGGCACACGCTGCGACTCCCTCAACTTTCCAACCATTGTGGAGCGAGGTCTGGGAGGGTTGATGCAGATTAAGAACCAGATCAGCCCCTTCATATCCCAGGTGAGACCTCCTCTCCATTCACTTGGCTATAATAAATAAATGTTTAAATTAAAGTGGTATCAAAAACTCTGTTCATTTTTTTAATTTTAACAACGGGCCCCTCAGAGGTTTATGCCGTACTGCATATTTCCACATCATGGAAGACTTGCCTGTTAAACCAGCTCTCCAGCGGCACTGTCACTGCTGCAGCTGGTCCCGGGCACTTCCATCTTTGCCTGGTCTTTCTTCCAGGTTCATTCCCACCAGCCGCTTGAATGACTGGGCTGTGATGACGTTACTCCCCCATATGCACACGGGATTCACTCAGTACAGAGTGGGTGCCGTAAATGTGCCACATGCGCAGCTCAGATAACATTACAGCTGATAGGCCAGGAGAGGCATTTATGACAGAAGGGACCACTAGGGTCACCTCTGTTATGAAATCCCTGCCTGTCAGTAGATTTTTTTTTTATTTCAGTACTGCTTTAAATTCCAGTACTGTAATCCCGTACAAAAAATGAGCATATGCTTACCCTCGTCACCAGATCTGACTGACAGTTACATTAAGACACAGCATGGTAAGCCATTCTTGCATTGTGAGCGCTGAGAATTTTTACTTTCCCTGGTTCAGAACTGCGCGGCTGTCACATGTTAAGGAATGGTAGTGGCCATGAAAACTGTTTTTTGCCATTTTTATTTCAAGATTTTTTGTTAATAATGAAAACTGATATTAAGAAATTGGCTTTGAAGTTTTTAAAACAAAATGAAATTGACTTGGGACCATTAGAGTTTCACTTTAATAACAACATTCCACTTTTTTTACCTACTCTTTCCATGCTTCAGATGTGCAACATGCTGGGACTTGGGGACATGAACGCCGACCAGCTTGCTTCCAAGTTAGAAGAGACTCTCCCTGTCATCCGATCGGTCAGCGAACAGTTCAAAGACCCGGTGAGATCTGTAACAGTGGCTGCTATGATTGAGGTCATGGTTTAAAGAGTTGTTAGTTATGTTCAGCAAAATTGTACAGCAATGTTTTAAAGCTACTTTGCCACTTGAGGATTTTGAACATAAGAAATACACCCTAAAGAAAACTTCAACAAAGTTTTGTGATGATCTTTAACCTCCCTGGTGGTCTGATTATGTCAATATTTTTGAATGTCAAAGCGGTACATTGTTTTGCATGGAAATTTCAGTGTCTGATGAAGAATTTCATCACGAATCACTATCGCTCAATTCTGTAAGTGATACTAATTCACTATCGCTGTTCTCTAGCCGGTCTAAAACCGCTTTTGACCTAAAGGGATGCTATATGGACGCCATGGACGTTTCTCAGTTTCCAGGCAGAAAGAACGGTAAAAGTGCAGGCAGGGCGCAGGACAAAGCACTTGGGACAAAATGTATGTGAAATAGTTTGATACAGTAATGTTATACTATGTGATTGTAGTGTATTTATTGAATGTCACTTTTGACATTTTCAAATTTCCCGCCGTTCCGTCCCCTGTACGTCCCGACGCTCGCAGGGGACGGAACCCAGATGACAAATGCCGGCATCCGCCGGATTACATTGCCGGGGACACTGCAGGAGGGACATCGCGGGAGCACAGGCAGGGCACAGGACAAAACACTCGGGACAAAACTGAGATGAAATGGTTTAATACAATAATGTAATCCTAACAGATTACAATGTATTGTGTGTATGTCATGTTTTGTTTATTTTCTTTTTAATTTCCTTCTGGTTCTGCCCCCTGCGTCGCGGCGCTCACAGGGAAGGGAACACGGAAGAAAGATGCCGGCATCGGCTGGAGGACACAGTGGGAGGACATCGGGGGATCGTAGGGACAAGCTAAGTTACACGGTGCAATCCCAAGTGTGGCTTGGGGTTACCGCTTTTGGTACTGAAAATTATCCCCGAGCCACACTTGGGATTACTGCTAGGGAGGTTAATGTCCACCTCCTTTTTGCCTGGTGCAGCTCTCTCTGCTGCTATTACTGGCTGTCAAAATGACAGCCAGTAATTGCTATTTATTATACATCAGAACAGGCTGTCAAGATGTAACGGTTTCTATGCAGAATGACACTTGCAGATAGTCCCTGTATTTTTTTTCTTTTCAATATTTTTATTAGATTTTCAGTATTTTTAACTGTTTAAGTACAAAGTACAGTTTCAACTGCATAAACCCAAGTAACCGTCAATAACTATCGTGCAAATGGCACGTGGTGAGAATTGATAATGTTCAAATCAACTTATCAGAAAGTAGAAATAAAGCATGCCTTGATGGATAGTTGGCCAGTATTATTATTATTATACAGGATTTATATATTGCCAACAGTTTGCTCAGCCCTTTACAATATAAAGGGAGATAATACAGCAACAATACAATTCAATGCAAGAGGGTCAGTACACAGAAAAAGAAGTCTGCCAATAGCACAACCACCAACACAAGTCAAAGAGTATAGCATTTTAGAAAAACTAACATCTTCCGAGCTAAGGGACGTACAAGACGTCACATAGGTTGCAGGGCAACCCTGCGGGAAAGCCTCACAGCCTCGGAATCAAGTATTAGGGGCGGACAGATGGAGACAGGCTAAACGGGAAGGGACCAGATACCATCGAGTCACCGTTTTTAAAGGTCAATTCCATAGTGAGGATATTAATGGTGCATGTGGCCAATGTCAGAATGTCCGCCGCAGTCGCGCCATAAGTCGCTGATCGCCGCCATAAGTCCCTGATCGCCGCCATTATTAGTATAAAAAAACCCCTAAAAATCCCAGTATCTTTCCCGCCATTTGTAAACGCTATAACTTTCACGTAAACCAATTAATTTACATGTATTGGGTTTTTTTTTAGCAAAGACGTGTCGCAGAATGCATTTTGGCAGAAATTTATGACTAAATTTGATTTTTAAATTTTTTTTTTTACTGGACATGTTTTATAGCAAAAAGTCCAAAATATCGTTTTTTTTTTCCTCAAAATTGTCAGCCTTTTTTTTTAAAGCGCAAAAAATAAAAACCGCACAGGCGATCAAATACCAACGAAAGAAAGCTCAATTTGTGGTAAAAAAATGGATGTAAATTTCATTTATGTACCATATTGCATGACCACGCAATTGTTCGTTAAACTAGCGCAGCGCTGTATAGCAGAAAAATGGTGTAAATTGCAGTATCTATACCATAGTTTGTAGACGCTATAGCATTCACACAAAGCAATCAATATACACTTATTGGGATTTTTTTTACCAAAAACATGGAGCAGAATACATTTTGGCCTAAATTTATAACCAACTTTGAGTTTACTATATTTTTTTTATAGCTGAAAGTAAAAAATATTGTTTTTCTTCAAAATTTTTGGCATTTTTTTGTTTATAGCATGAAAAATAAAAAGTGCACAGGTGATCAAAGACCACTGAAAGAAAGCTCTATTTGTGTGAAAAAAAGGACGTAAATTTCATTTGGGTGCAGCATTGCATGACCGCGCAATTATCAGTTGAATTAGTGCAGCACCCAGTAGCAAAAAGAGGCCTGGTCATTAAGGGGGGTAAATCCTCTGGAGGTCAAGTGGTTAAGCTACCAAAATTAGTGTGTGCCATAAATTGCCTCCAGCATTGTTCCTGTTGCTTTCATGCTGGAGGCTACCATTTTGCTGAAGCCCAAAGTCCTGAGCAGCAGTAAATCTTTAGGCTGTCAGAAGATCGGCCTCTAAATACTCAGCACAGTGCCTAAAAAATAGAGCAACTGAGCAGGTGCAGAGCAGGGTGACAGTGTATTACGTGATTTCAATCAGTATTTTATGTTTTGCATAGATATACCAGCAAAAGGGGCCAGTCTGACGTGATCTAGGACGTAACTTTCTAAATAAAGTTCCTCTTTAAGCTGTGTACACACGGATCGAAATTCGGCTGGTTTAGCAGAGACTGGATGAATTTTGATCTGTGTTTGGCCCTCCCTGTTTGACAGAAGTCAATCAATAAATCGACTTTTGCTGAATGGGACCTTAATGCAATCCGCCCCTGCAGGATTGATTCATGTATTCTTGCAGTGGATAGGGGAATCCCCTTTTTCTTTTTTTTTTTCTTCTTAACCTCCTCGGCGGTATGATTCTTTCTGATTTTTTTGTGCTGAAAGCGGTACCATTTTTTTTTTTTTGCATGGAAATATGTAGTTTTTTATTGTAGGCTGTAATTTTTAGGAATAACTCACTGAAATCTGTCCGAACAAGAGTCTAGTAAACATCCCGGGTAGGATAAAATTTGAAACACGAAATCGTAAATTATAATTTAATAAATAATCATAAAAAATAATAATAAATTCAATAATATAATCAAACCAAAAACACTGAAATCTGAAATACAGAGGCAAGTTCGCACATCGCTGAGCAAAGTCGCAAAATCGTTTTCAGTGTCTGATGACGAATTTCCCCCACGAATCATTATCATTCAATTCTGCAAGTGGTTTTGATTTACTATCGCTGTTCTAAAACCGCTTTTGACCTAAAGGAACGCTTTTTGGATGCCATGGACTTTTGTAAGTTTCCAAGCAGAAAGAACATTCAAAATGCAGGCAGGGCGCCGGACAAAGCAGTAGGGACAAAATATATGTGAAATGCATTGAAACAGCAATGACAGCAAAAATGAAATTGTTTAAAAATTTCAAATTTCCCGCCATCCGGCGCCCGTACGTCCCGACGTCACAGGGACCGGAACACAGAAGCCGGATGCCGCCATCGGCCGGAGGAGATGGCCGGGGACGCTGCAGGGGACACATCGCGGGAGTGAAGGACAAGGTAAGTGCTGCAGGGACCCCCTGAGCAACGCCACATGGTATTCCCGAGTGTAGCTCGGGGTTACTGCTCTTGGTACTCAAATTTTACCCCGAGCTACACTCGGGAATACCGCTAAGGAGGTTAAAGCATGTTTACCCAGCTTTTAGACTTTTCTTTATTGACATAAAACATTATACACATGATGTGAATAAATCAAAGAGTGTGCTAAATATAAGTAAATACAAAAATTATTAGTTTAAAATGATGTCCGTGATAGAAAAAATTTTATATAAAAGTCCATCCACCATAACAAAGTAATTAAACAGTTCTGAAATCTTCTATAAATCAAACACCGTGCAAAAAAAAAAATCCACCACCGAATGAAATGGGTACACTCACCAGAGCTCCATGCTGACCAGATTATAAATCAGCAAAGATAGCGTTTGCTCTGGGAGCGATGATCAGCAGAAGAAATCCAAACTGGGAGCAATATACTGCAAGCAGCCAGTCAGCACAATATGGAATAGCCTGAACAGCAGGTAGTCATCACGTCTCCATACCATAGATCATGTTCGGGGAATCAAAAAAGGAAATCATGGTGCAGTACGTTTAAAACCGATATGTTTTATTAAAACTTCAGAAATGGACTCACAAACAGGGTGTCTAGCCGACACCAGCAATGACAGCCTCAAGAAAGCAGGGACGAGCCTCGCTCACCGCGATATCACAGCCGACAGTCTAGGAGGAGCGTCCAGACGTCACATCCAAAAAAAGCCCCGCCCTACTAGTTTCGTCATCCGACGTCACGGGGCGCTTTTTTTTTTTTTTTTTCTTTCTCTATTTCTCATATTATACACATGATACACCTGTATACAGCTAATGTACACATATTCAGCAATATAACAGGTTTATGACAGTCTCCCTATTGTACTAGACATATTAGGGGGCCCTGCACCGTTAGAGTAATATTTTGAGGGCCTTTAGGTATAATGCTAAATAGGCAGCACAGTGGCTAAATGGTTAGTACTTCTGCCTGGCAGCACTGGGGTCGTTGGTTCAAATCCCAAGCATGGCACTACCTGTTTGCATGTTCTCTCTGTGCTTGGTGCGGGGTTTCACCTAAGTACTCCGGTTTCCTCCTACACTCCAAAGACATGCTGGTAAGGTAATTAGCTCATGTCTAAAGTGGCCCTGGTATGTGTATGTATGAATGTGAGTTAGGGACCTTAGATTGTACGCCCCTTGAGGGTTAGGGACTGATGTGAAAGTTTTATTTATATATATATATATATATATATATATATATATATATATATATATATACACATACACACATATACACATAGATAGAGAGATAGAGCTATAGATAGATACCCACACAGTATCTCCCAGAGGTGAGTCCACCCCTCACATTTGTGTAAATATTTGATTCTATCTTTTCTTCTGACAACACTGAAGAAATGACACTTTGCTACAATGTGACGTAGTCAGTGTACAGCTTGTATAACATGTAAATTTGCTGCCCCCTCAAAATAACTCAACACACCGCCATTAATGTCTAAACCGCTGGCAAAAAAAGTGATTCCACCCCTAAGTGACAATGTCCAAATTGGGCCCAATTAGCCATTTTCCCTCCCCGGTGTCATGTGGTTCATTAGTGTTACAAGGTCTCAGGTGTGAATGGGGAGCAGGTGTGTTAAATTTGGTGTTATCGCTCTCGCTCTCTCATACTGGTCACTGGAGTTCAACATGGCACCTCATGGCAAAGAACTCTCTGAGGATCTGAAAAAAAGAATTTTTGCTCTACATAAAGACGACCTAGGCTATAAGAAGATTGCCAAGACCCTGAAATTGAGCTGCAGCATGATGGCCAAGACCATACTGCGGTTTATCAGGACAGGTTCCACACAGAACAGGCCTTGTCATGGTCGACCAAAGAAGTTGAGTGCACGTGCTCAGCGTCCTATCCAGAGGTTGTCTTTGGGAAATAGACATATCAGTGCTGCCAGCATTGCTGCAGAGGTTGAAGGGGTCGGGGGTCAGCCTGTCAGTGCTCAGACCATACGCCACACACTGCATCAAATTGGTCTGCATGGTGTCATCCCAGAAGGAAGCCTCTTCTAAAGATGATGCACAAGAAAGCCCGCAAACAGTTTACTGAAGACAAGCAGACTAAGGACATGGATTACTAGAACCGTATCCTGTGGTCTGATGACACCAAGATAAACTGATTTGGTTCAAATGGTGTCAAACGTGTGTGGTGGCAACCAGGTGAGGAGTACAAAGAGAAGTGTGTCTTGCCTACAGTCAAGCATGGTGGTGGGAGTGTCATGGTCTGGGGCTGCATGAGTGCTGCTGGCACTGGGGAGGTACAGTTCATTGAGGGAACCATGAATGCCAACATGTACTGTGACATACTGAAGTAGAGCATGATCCCCTCCCTTCGGAGACTGCACCGCAGGGCAGTATTCCAACATAACGACCCCAAACACACCTCCAAGACGACCACTGCCTTGCTAAAGAAGCTGAGGGTAAAGTTGATGGACATGCCAAGCATGTCTCCAGACCTAAACCCTATTGAGCATCTGTGGGGCATCCTAAAATGGAAGGTGGAGGAGTGCAAAGGTCTCTAACATCCACCAGCTCTGTGATGTCGTCATGGAGGAGTGGAAGAGGACTTCAGTGGCAACCTGTGAAGCTCTGGTGACCTCCATGCCCAAGAGGGTTAAGGCAGTGCTGGAAAGCAATGGCGGTCACACAAAATATTGACACTTTGTGCCCAATTTGGACATTGTCACTTAGGGGTGGACTCACTTTTGTTGCCAGCGGTTTAGACATTAATGGCTGTGTTGTTATTTTGAGGGGACAGCAAATTTACATGTTATACAAGCTGTACACTGACTACGTCACATTGTAGCAAAGTGTCATTTCTTCAGTGTTGTCACATGAAAAGAATCAAATATTTACAAAAATGTGAGGGGTGGACTCACTTCTGGGAGATAGTGTGTGTATATGTATGTATGTAAAGCGCTGCGTAAATTGATGGCACTATATAAGCATCTGTAATAAATAAATAGACATAAATACAGTATTGTGTACCTTTTTTGACTTTCATTGTTTAGGAAAATGCTAAATACTGCATATCTTTAACACATTGCAGTTTCACCTTTTATGTTTAGTTGGAATTTGTAAGGTTTTGTTTATATGCCTCCTGTTGCTATACACACGGATACATAACATAGCATATTATTGCTGACAGAGCTGGTTTTACATCCCTCCATACAGGAGCAGACCACGTTTATCTGCGTTTGTATTGCGGAGTTCCTATCCCTGTATGAGACAGAGCGGTTGATCCAGGAGTTGGCGAAATGTAAAATAGATACACATAACATCATAGTGAACCAGCTGGTGTTTCCTGATCCTGAGAAGCCATGCCGGATGTGTGAAGCCCGACACAAGATCCAGTCAAAATACCTGGACCAGGTATGTCAATGATGGGGGGGGGGGGGGGGGGGGTAGTAAGGGGGGACATCTGTACATCTGTTGTTTGTTGGAAGTGCTGCTTGGTGGTAATTAGGAAGTGTGTGTGTGCAGTAGGGAGAGGGAGCAGCCTACAGGATGATGAAGAGTGAAGAACTCTCCTATTAATTGGCCAAGGTATGGAATTTGATGGTATTATTGGGGAGGGGTCGCAATTGCCTGGTATTAATAGGTAGATTGGATGAGTAAATATGGGTGGGGAAGAGAAACCTTACATTTGTCTGAAATCAGGGGGAGTTTTCTGGTATTAGAAGTTCAAAAAATTACATAGGATAAATAATGCGAAGATGGAGATGCTTGGCACAAATGAGGGGCAAAGTTAATAGGGAAGGGGTGGAACTACCTGCTATTAAAGAACACCTCTACTAAGACTCCATGGGAGATGTCCTTCATAAACCGACTCTCGCACCCAGAGAATCCAGCTTTGCTGTGGAGTGACCCACAGCAAACATTTGTGGAGTTTCATTTCATTTTGCTGCTGCTCACCCTGTACCGCACCATCTTCCTCTCTTACGGGAGTTGGCTGTCTCTTCCTGGTGCAGAGGGAAAAAATATACTGTTCAATTGTGCGAAAGGAGGGGTAGGAGGAAAATGATGAAAATTGGGTGGGGAGGGTGAAGGTCCGCTTTAACTTGTGTTCCTGGTGAGCAACAGCGGGGAATCTGTGTGTGGAAACTTAGCAGGCTGTCTGTGCTACCGTATATTTAAATCTATATGTAAAGTACACCAGTGAGTGCAGATTTGTATTAAAATGAACATGCAGATATAGGAACGTGAACTCGTAGTATATACTACTGTATACATATATATTTGCATTTTGGTAATAGTTTTCCTGTAAAGGACTGGAATTCCTCTGTACTAGCTCACAAGTGTCACAATGTGGCACCCTTAGAAAAGAAACCTGTAGTAAGATTTAGAACTTTTCTCACTTCTCCCTCCTTTTATAATTACCTCCTTCCTTCATTCTGTGACTCGTATCTTTTTCTCCTTTTTCTCTCTTTTTCTCTTTCCTTCCTCTTTCTCTTTGTCCCTTTCCTTCCTCTTTCTCTTTGTCCCTTTCCTTCCTCTTTCTCTTTGTCCCTTTCCTTCCTCTTTCTCCCTTTTTCCTTCCTCTTTCTCCTTCTCCCTTTTTCCTTCCTCTTTCTCCTTCTCCCTTTTTCCTTCCTCTTTCTCCTTCTCCCTTTTTCCTTCCTCTTTCTCCTTCTCCCTTTTTCCTTCCTCTTTCTCCTTCTTCTCCCTTTCTCTTTCTCCCTTTTTTCCTTCTCTTTTCTCCCTTTTTCCTTTCTCTTTTCTCCCTTTTTCCTTTTCTCTTTTCTCCCTTTTTCCTTTTCTCTTTTCTCCCTTTTTCCTTTTCTCTTTTCTCCCTTTTTCCTTTTCTCTTTTCTCCCTTTTTCCTTTTCTCTTTTCTCCCTTTTTCCTTTTCTCTTATCTCCCTTTTTCCTTTTCTCTTATCTCCCTTTTTCCTTTTCTCTTTTCTCCCTTTTTCCTTTTCTCTTTTCTCCCTTTTTCCTTTTCTCTTTTCTCCCTTTTTCCTTTTCTCTTTTCTCCCTTTTTCCTTTTCTCTTTTCTCCCCTTTTTCCTTTTCTCTTTTCTCCCTTTTTCCTTTTCTCTTTTCTCCCTTTTTCCTTTTCTCTTTTCTCCCTTTCCTCTCTAACATTCCTTAATTCTTTCTACCTAAGATGGAGGACCTGTATGAAGATTTCCACATTGTGAAGCTCCCTCTTCTCCCGCATGAAGTTAGGGGGGCAGAAAACGTGAACACATTCTCTAACCTTCTACTGGAGCCGTACAAACCGCCAAGTGGGAAGTGATGGGTTGGGATTCTGGGTGGTTACCCTCACATCGTTTCATAAACACTACAGAGGCAAGCCGAGACAGATGACATCCCTCTGACAGATCAGGTTTTACCCCTCCAAAAACCACCTGTCATCCCCACCCTTATTTTTTTTTTCCTGGAGGGTTTATTTATTGTTTCTGGAATTTGGGGACCCAAACAATATTTACATCTCACTTCAATCTCTGTGTTTGTGTATGTGTCTCAGCCTCTTTCTATCTCCCTGGGCATTTGTCTCTTCATATTTTCAAAAATGCATTGAGAATGCCACACTATAAATCAATACTAAGCATGACACCACTGTAGTTTCAGGGTATCACTAATATACCTCTTCTTTCCCCAAAAATCACCTACTGTAGTGCTCTGGGAGCGGAGTATTAAATTCTCTTTATACAAATCTGTGTTGTGTGGTTATTATCAGAGTACAATATTAATCTTCATTATACTGTCACCAGTGTATAGATACTTAGTATTTGTATACTGTGCAGTGAGATTATCAGTGTATAGATACTTGGTATCATGGTGCAATGTGATCATTATGGGGGCATAGGTATTCAATATCCTTTATACGGTGCGGTGTGATCATTATTGATGTATGGATACTCTGTATCATTATACGGTGGGATGTGATCATTATCGGTGTATATATACTTAGTATCATTATACAGTGCATCATGATCATTATCAGTAAATTAATTGGTTTACGTGAAAGTTATAGCATTTACAAATGGCGGTATATACAGTTGTGCTCAAAGGTTTACATACCCTGGCAGAAAATTTGAAATTGTGGCATTTGATATTGAAAATATGACTGATCATGCCAAAAAATGCTCTTTTATTGAAGGATGATGATTATATGAAGCCATTTATTATCAAATAGTTGTTTGGCTCCTTTTTAAATCATAATGATAACAGAAATCACCCAAATGGTCCGGATCAAAAGTTTCCGTCCCCTGGAATGTTTGGCCTTAATACAGACACACAAGGTGACACACACGGGTTACAATGACAATTATAGGTTAACCATTTCAATACCGGGCAATTTTACACCTTCCTGCCCAGGCCATTTTTCACGTTTCAGCGCTCTCGCACTTTGAATGACAATTGCGCGGTCATACAACATTGTACCCAAACTAAAATTTTATCATTTTCTTCACACAACTAGAGATTTCTTTTGGTGGTATTTAATTACCGCCGGGGTTTTTATTTTTTGCTAAATTAACAAAAAAAGACCAAAAATTTTGAAAAAAAACAAGTTTTTTCTTTGTTTCTGTTATAAAAGTTTACAAATAAATAATTGTTCTTCATAAATTTAGGCCGCGATGTATTCTGCTACATGTCTTTGGTGAAAATAACCCAAATTAGGAGGATGTATTATTTAGTTTGTAGGAAAGTTATAGAGTTTACAAACTATGGTATAGATCTGAAAATTGATCAATCCTGAAGTACTGACGGACAATCTAATTTCTTGAGGTCCAAGAATGTCAGAACAGTACAGATATCCCCCAAATGACCCCTTTTTGCAGAGTAGACAGTCCGACGTACTTCATAAAGAGGCATGGCAAGTTTTTTGAAGTTGTATTTTTTTTTTGTCATAATTTTTCAGAAAATTAAAAAATGTAAAAAATTATTTTCACTTTTTTTTTTTTTTTTTACATACTGTCACCAGTGCAGTACAGCGTCATCATATAACTCGCATGGCGGTGAACAGGGACACTGACTGGTGACAGTATGAAAAAAAAAAAAAAAAAAATATATATATATATATATATATATATATATATATATATATATATATATATATTTTTTTTATTATTATTATTATTATTATTATTATTATTATTATTTTTAATTTTTTATTACATTTTTTTTTTTTTTTTTTTTTTTTTTTAAAGATTTTTTTTTTTTTCATATTTTACTATGACCAAAGTAGTACAATGTTACCATAGTAATATTGTACTACTTTGGGGAAGTGATCAGTATTTTTTTTTTTTTTTTTTTACACAATTTGCTTATAGCAAAGAATTACTTTGCTATAAGCAAGCATTTACCTGAATGAAATCGATTCATTAAGTGTTTTTTTTTTTTTTTTTTTTTTTTTGTGCTTAGCTGTGATTTGGTCACAGCTAATCACATGACATGTGCATGTGATTAGCTGTGACCATTCACAGCTAGGAACTAGTATACAATGGATGGCATGAATGAAGCCATCCATTGTATACAACTGTCATGTGACCTGCTGTGATTGGTCCAGCAATGGGGGCCCGTACTCAGATCTGTCATCGGCCGTGTCCGAGGTACATGGCTGGTGACAGATCGCGCCGCTCTGCATTAGCGCAAACTGCGCATGTGCGGGTGCACGCCAAAAGGGCGTGCCCCCGGTATGCCGAAGCACTTTTGAAGCCGCCAAACGGCCATTGGCCAATGTCCCACATCTGTGGCTTTTTAAATTGCAATTCGTGTCAGTGTATAAATAGTCAATGAGTTTGTTAGCTCTTACATGGAAGCACTGACTAGGCTATATCCTGAGCCATGGGGATCAGAAAAGAACTGTCATAACAAGGTAATGGAACAAGGATGACAGAGGCAGCTCATCTCTAGGGTAAGTAATGGTATGCTCTACTTTACTCTGTGCATCGTTTTGGTCTTTGAAATATCAGGCTAATCGTATTAGATATTATTTGCAGACACTACCACCTTTTTCCTTCACACAGAAAACAATCTGTTAATTTATTACCTCTCTCCCTTCAGCGTTATCCCTTTTTGAGTCTGTTATCTAGCTTCATACAGTCAAACATGGTTACAGAACTTGTATTTCTTCGTATGGTACAAGACACAGGATCCAAGTTCCACAGGTTATGCAGCTGTCTTCAGGGGAGCAGACATTGGTAGCCAAGTATAAGCCTTCCCACTCCAAGAAAGGCTCAGTTTTTTTTTTTTTTTTTGCTAGTGTCCCTAAGCTAGTGGACAGATGGGACTACTTTTCTCTGCTCTGCAAGAATCAAACCACTTTATTTTTCTATTTTCAAGATTCTAATGAGCTTTCTTAGCTGCTACATAGTCACTGAAACGGTTTTTTTTTTGGCATATTTCCAGATCAGTTGACTCCTCAGCTGAGCCTTGGGGTACCATAACCTCCCAGGATGAAGATGCAGGCCAACCTGTAATCCTACTTCGGGTACTGGATTCTGTGAGAGGTGCTCCTCTAGCCATGTTGCCCAAATTAGTGAGTTAGCCGTAGGGTGTTATGCAGGTGCAGGGCTATGCTCCATCTGCCTTTTGAAACCCTGTTTTTGAAAACCCAATAAGGGAGAATGGCCACGGGGAGGAAGAGTATCTGGATGGGGCTTGTTTCCTCATGTCAATCTGTGACTGGTAGAACCTCAAGCTGCTGCAGTCAGTCAGCCATATCAGAGAGCCCAGTATGCTTCCCCTCCTGTTCCTCATGAGTTAACGAACACAGTGCTGGCTGATGCTTATTCATTCGCAGCCAGTGGTGGAAGCAGCCCAGTCGTGTTTTTTATTTTTGAATTTGGTGCCTTCTTATCTCATACCTCATCTCATATCTCAAGACTTTAGTCACCAAGCCAATTAAAATGAAACAAAATTATCCTTACTTATTCAGTGTGTATGGGCCATGCCTTTAGAACATCTTGCGTCAACCCAGCTAAGGGTCATCTGGCTAGGTTCACTAGAAATACCTTGGCCTGCCAAAACCTTCCCTGTACACTCATATTGATGTCCCTCCAGTGCTCCATAGGATGTAATGGGATTCTGCCGCCGGTGCTTTAGCCTGCCGCCGGGCCTTGATCACCCCCCGATGCCGGGCCTTGATCACCCCCCGAGGCCGGGCCCTCAGCACCTCCAAACACCGCACCCTACGGCTCGTCCAGTCGCCGAACCACTGTACCCACCGACACCGTGCCACAACACCCTTGGACGCCGACCTACAGCGCCCACAGACTGCAACCAGCCAGCTGCTGACCCAGCCGCCCACCACTCTCACTCTCCTCCTACAGATGGACACAGATGAACTCCTTCATGGCATGACAAACTCTCTGCATCCTCACGTCCTGATTGAAACCTCCCCGACCTGACCAGCACTCCCCTCACCCTAACATGCCACCTGCACTCCTCCTCCTCGTTTTCCTCACCTCCATTCCCAAAATCGCTTCCCACTACTCCCCCAAAACAGCTCTACATTGCTCCTTCACCTCTTCCTTCTCCCCACTACGGCTCCCACCACCTCCTCCTGATGCTCCACTCTCCCGCCGACCCACACGCCCCTGCACATCCCGTTCCCATGCCACCTTCCTCACCCTTCTCCTAACCCCCGGGGACATCTCCCTGAACCCTGGCCCCCCACCTCCCCACTCCCCCTCTCGGCACCCCCCTGCTCCCGCCAGCTGCCGCAACCCCCTCAACTTGACACCCGTCCCCCTACTCCCCGCATCCACCCCTCCTCTCTCGGTTGCACTCCTGAACGCCCGTTCGGTTTGCAACAAGCTCACCGCCATCCATGTCCTCTTTGTCTCCCACTCCCTCAACCTCCTAGCGGTCACAGAAACCTGGATCCAAGCCACTGACTCCACCTCCCCTGCAGCACTCACCTATGGAGGCCTCGTCTGGACCCACTCACCCAGACCAAGTGGTCGCAGAGGCGGTGGGGTCAGCATGCTCCTGCCACCGCTGAGCACCTTCCAGGTTCTCCCTAACCCCCCCCTCCCTATCCTCCTCCTTCAAATCCACTGCATCCGGCTCTTCTCCCCCAACCCCCTGAGGACTGCTGCAGTAATCTATCGGCCTCCAGGATCCGCATCACTCTTTCTAGACGACTTTGCCACCTGGCTACCCTTCTTCCTCTCCTCTGAGCTACTGACCATCATCCTCAGGGACTTCAACATCCCCATCAACGCCAACAGCCCGGCTACTTCCCAACTCCTCCTCCTAACCTCCTCCTTCACGCTCACACAGCAC